CATCTCCTTGAGTCAGTTTACTCATGTCTGAGTTTTCAGGCATTTGAATTTGTGACCCCTGCCAAAGCCTTTGGAGGAAGTAGCTGTCTGCAGCATACATCTTGATGGAAGAGGGCTGCTGGCCTAGAGGACTTTCTCTGATTGCTTGCACACAGAGTTGGAGACACCAGCATTTGTTTGACTTACCGCCTGTGTTTTTCTGAGAACACAGCTGGATAATTTTGCAGGAATTATATTCATAGGCTAGGTCTCTGTATCTTCATGATTCACCTTAATTCCTGAACCTCTACAATCCCCCACCCCTGGCCGCATGCTGATTTGCCATTTGTTCCTTTTTTCAGCTTATGAGAGGAAGTGTCCAAGGAGAATATAGCAAGTTCTCTCCTACGACACAGAGATATAACTCCTTTAACTTAAAGAGTTTGAGGCAGACTTCATGAACCATCTTTGAATGAGCTGATTCTAGTATCTATCTCTGTTGACAGCTTGCTCTTATTAAACCCTTCCCCAAAGTGAACGCTGCAGCTACTGACAATGGATGAGGCCAAGGAGCTAAGGAGCCTCTCTGTGGCCTCAGCATACCTGAATAATAGTCACTCTGTGGCTCTCCAAGAACAGTGAAGTTTTTTTTTTTTTCCTTTTTTTCTTTTTCTTTTTCTTTCTCTGTCTTTTTTTTTTTTTTTTTTTTTTTTTTTTTTTTTAGTACTGGAATGACAATCATCAAAATCATTTACAAAGTGCAGTGTAAGTGATGCTGTATAAGGGGTGGTAAAATGAAGTTATTATGCCATTTGAGAGCTTATAAACTGACTTATAATTAAGCAGGGTTGCAGGATAATTAAGTGTCTGTTTTGGCAGTAGCATGGATTTCAGATTGGAATTGAACACTGGCCCTGACACTAGTTATTTGAACCTGGACTAATCACTTAATTCTGTGACCTTTAATAGAAAAGTAGTTAAATTATAACATGATGAGTGAGACCTTAGAGTAGTTAAGAACTCGGGAGTCCTTTCTGCATTCCATCTTACTAGTTGGATTCAGTAAACTTCAAAATTCTCAGGTTCCTACTCTTAAAATGGAGGTAAAAATCGTACCTTCCAAATAGGATTTTATATGACTAAATGAGATAATGCTTGTATCTAACATGTGATTGGTACACAGTATTGCTGGCCATTGGAGTGCTCAGCTGGTATAAAGTATGTTGTCAAAAATATTGGTTTCTTCCCTCTTTCTTGGGTCTCAGTGCTTTGGTGCTAAAAATTTTAGCAAATAGGAGGAACTAAAGGTTGCTCTGCTCAATAAATATTTAACAAATTGCTTTTTACAGTGAAAAGTGTATATATGTATGAAAATCAAGCTGCTTAAAGGTGTGACTTCTTAACTAGGGCAGTTTATGTGGAGAGTTAAAAATAATTTTAGAGTTTCAAATACTGCAGGATAATGTAATGGTTAACACAAAAATAAGAAAATATCTTGGCCGGGCGCGGTGGCTCAAGCCTGTAATCCCAGCACTTAGGGAGGCCGAGACGGGCGGATCACGAGGTCAGGAGATCGAGACCGTCCTGGATAACACGGTGAAACCCCGTCTCTACTAAAAAATACAAAAAACTAGCCGGGCGAGGTGGCGGGCGCCTGTAGTCCCAGCTACTCGGGAGGCTGAGGCAGGAGAATGGCGTGAACCCGGGAGGCGGAGCTTGCAGTGAGCTGAGATCCGGCCACTGTACTCCAGCCTGGGCTGCAGAGCGAGACTCCGTCTCAAAAAAAATAAATAAAAAATAAATAAAAAAAAAATAAAGAAAATATCTTTAATAATGCAAGTTACTGCCTGTTCCCTTTAAGAATGAGTTCCTGGCTACAGAAATCTTTATCTAGACACCCAAATCAAGCAGAATACAAAGGTCACAATGCCAATTTCATCTGAAACTTGTTTTGCAGTGCTTGAGTCTAGGTTTTTAGGAAAAGACTTGTGGTTGCTATGGAACTGTTAATAATGATTGCTGCCTGTGCCTTAATTCTTCATACTCCCAATCTCCAATATAAAATCACTTAGATTTGGGCTCCGGGGCAGTAAACAAACTTTTGAGCAAGAATTAACTGGACTTGGGCATTAGTGTCTTAATGTAGGAAATGACTTTCATTATAACCTTTACTTATACTGGCAGCCAGGCTATGTTGAGGTTTCCTAATAGTGGGCTTAATCGCATGAGTGTCAAACTTTGCTCTTCTGGGTGAGCACTGCTAAAAGCAGAAACATTTTGGGTTTTCATCAGACAATAAATATCAGAAGTCCTTGTTTTGTACGGAACTAGTCTTAGCGAGAGTCTTTTGTTTTCACATATAAAAAGAACCAGTAATTCAGCCACATACTGGATTCCTAAGCAGAAAGAAGAAAATATTCCTGTTGAAATACGTATCTATTTACTTTAAAAAGAAATCTCACAGAAAAATGACTTTATTTTTTGCTATATACCTGTGAGATTAGTGACCCATGTAATAGATGCTTCTTACTCCTGGATTATATTTCTAAGATATGGCTCTCAGTCCTTCTTTTTTTTTTTTGAGGCGGAGTCTTCACTCTGTCGCCCAGGCTGGAGTGCAGTGGCACCATCTCGGCTCACTGCAAGCTCCGCCTCCCGGGTTCGCGCCATTCTCCTGCCTCAGCCTCCCGAGTAGCTGGGACTACAGGCGCCCACCACCTTGCCCGGCTAATTTTTTGTATTTTAGTAGAGACGGGGTTTCACCGTGTTAGCCAGGATGGTCTCGATCTTATGTATGACAAATCTTTGGGGAAAACTAATCCAGTTCTTGAGCTCCAGGCATAGAAAGTTAGGAATGAGTTGTTGGATAGGTGGGGAGAAGACATATCTAATTTGGGGATGTTGCTGCCTCACCAGTATGCAAATAACTCAAAAATAATACAGAATAAATCGCTTCAATTTCCACAACTGTTGCTCTCTGTAATCCCTACAGTGTGTGATTTTCAACAATTATCTGGCCTAATTCTCTGTTTTATTGCTTAGGATTTTAGTGCTTCAAATGTGGAACATAGAATAAATGTGATTGCCAGTGAAACTTAAAAAAAAAAAATGCTCAAGTGCAGTTTTCAGCTGACATACAGCTAGTTTATAGGAACAAATGAAAAACACATTTTGAAAAGGAAATGTAAATATTACATTAGGTCTGGGTCCCCCAACTTCTCGCCTGCAAAAAGTAACAACTCCATAAAGGTTAAACAGGCTTGCTTTGGGCCCAGAGTAAAATTAAGTCTGCTACCAACTCTATGGCACTGCAGAAGACAAAGGATTATCTGTGTGAATAAACTGAATTTATAGGTCAATACATTCATGTTTGCAGGACTATTTAAGGTATTAGAAGTTCTGATATAATACAAGAAAAATGCAGATGTAACTATCAAATCATCAAGCTGCTGAAATAAATTCAAGATACTCTCTAGAGCTGGCAAGGTGATGTCAAAAAAGTTAAACTTGAAGAATGAGACTTAGATTTCTAAATGAGATTGGTTGGAGGAAGCAGAGTTAATAGGAGAACTCAAGACTGAAACAATCAACATTACTGCTATGTTTGGAGGAGAGTTTAAAAATCAATTCTTTCTGCTTGTTCTAAAACTGTTCTGCCAAAAAACTGACATTGTTACATGCCTTTTATTTTTTGGTTTATTTAATCTTCTTTAACACAGCCATTGTTGGTTCAACAATCCAATATTTGAGGTTACATTATTGCAAAAATAAGGACATAGCTGAATAGGTTATGCCATCAATACATTTGTTAATCCTATCCCTTTTATTAAAGACAAAGCATAGTTTGTTAATACTGTCTTGGATTAACTCTATTTGTAAGGTTACTTACAGTGGTGCATACTAAAGGCAGGGGATTTGCTCCCTGGACCAAGTGTCTTTAAACTATAATTTAACAAATCATTAGCATTTTGTAATTAAAAACAGATTAAGCAATATTTTAGTATAATGTTAGGTAGCAGTAAAAATTACCCTGTCTGAATATATGTGTACATATACATAAAACACTAGCATGCTTTAAGAAGTTAAGAAACATTAATATTCTGTGAAATTAATATATAAATTAAATACAATCTGGAATGAAATTCCCATTATGTACAAAAAAGAAAAAATAGAATATTTCATTTCCAAAACCTATAGATTTTAGCATCTTATAAGCCTACATCACATCATATGGAATGTAAGGGTTAGTTCAAATTTGAAGAGCATTGAAGAATAGTATGAGCCAAGTTTCCACAAAGCAGTATATATTATTGTATTTTGAAGATTTATATTCGTTCCAATGTTAACAAGACAACATCCATTTGAGCTTCCCTAAAGAAATATTTGTAATATCTTTTATTTATTAAGAAAAAATACAGCTTTAACACTGTTTGTTATTATTTAAAAATATTAGAAAATTAAAAAATTTTGAAGATGACATGTTATTCCAGGATATATGAACTTCTTTAGTATTGTTATTTAAGGAGTGAAATAGTTAAGCTACTATTGTAAATATTTTACTTTCAAGCACATACATTTTTTTCTCTGTTTTCATTCTTTTCGGCATTGTTTCCTGTTTCATTTTCTAAATTTTCTTTCTTATTTTCTGAATAGTCCTTACTTTACTACATATCTTACTTCATTAGCTGACTTTTATAGTCTCTTCATTTTTCCTTCGTTTGCAATAATACAATGGTTTCTATTAAGTAAACAACCAACTGAGCATCTCTTTTTATCTTTTGTAGATGTTTTCTTCTTAAAACATATAGTTATATGTTTAGCTTACATATTTATGTATATTATATATCAACACAAAGAATAAAATTAGATTCACAGAGTACGGTGGAAATACAATATACTACTGGTACACTATTCAGCAAGCTTATGGAATGACAAAAAAGAATGAATCACTTTTCATGACTAGTATCTTAATTATCCTCTGTTTTTTTCTGACTAAGCCAAATAGATTAGCATTTTTCAACTGCTCAATTTCTTCTTCAATCTTGGAGACATTCTACGGAGATAGAACCTACGTGCAAATTAAAAGTGGAGTCCGTGACAGGTCGCTCTCACGGTAAAGCCTGGTCTCTTGTGTGTTACTATGACTATGTGGTCAATGATTACTGCCTGGACAGGAACGCAGGAGTGGGTGGGTCGTGCTGGAGATGTGCAGGAATTTGTTCCTCGGCCCTGGAAGCCAGCTTGAGCATAGCACAGGATGACACAGCAGCTCTAAGCTCAGGTGGACTGGTGCACCTGGAGCACGGCGGGCTGCACGGGGTCCTCATCGGAGCGCTCCGCCTCCTCAGAGGTTAGCGCATAACCACCCTCATAGCGCACCTTCTGTGCCTGTTCCAGGGCCACTGACTCCTCCTCTTCATCTTCCACAATAGTCAAGTCAATGTTGCTGTCCATTCCCGAGTTACTCCCCCTGGAGGTCACCTTCTCAGCAGCCTCCTCTGCGGTTTCCTCTTCCACCAGGGCGCTGGCGAGGGACGCTTCCGAGAGACCCTCTGCAAAGGACCCCTCTTCCTGGTCATGCGGCATCCGCTCGCTGCTAGGCAGGTCTTCTGACTTGGTCTCATTTTCTTCATGGCTTTCTCCGTCTCGGACTTTCTTCCGCCCGAAAGTGAGGGGAGAAACCTTGAAAGGGGAGCTTTTTCCTGAGGATAGTTTCTGGTGATTTGACGTGAGAGATTTCTTAATCTTCTCTCTCCTCTCTACAGATACGATCTTTGTCCCCAGCTTGTTCATCTTTTTCTCGATGTTCTGGCGAGAAAATGCTTTCTTGAGGCTATCCACTTTCTTGAGGCTGGATCTTTTTATTTTCTCGGCTCTACTTTCTTCCACCTTTTCTTCGGCACTGTCTTCCAGGGCCTCCTCATCGTGAGGCAAATCATCATCTGACGAGAGGTCCACGGTGTGCAGGGTTTCCTCCAGGGATTTGTTTTCATCCGGAAGCTCCTCCTTCCCTTCCACGGCGCCGGAAACGGGCTCTTTCACAAACACACTGGCAGGGATCTCATTTTCCTCCTGAAAAGACGGACGGTATAGGTTTCATGTTAATAACATATTTCACAGATAGTCCTGAGCTGCTGTAATACGTGTGTCTGTTTTGGTGACATGGTGATGATAAAAACCAAATGTTTGTGGCACGAGTTTTCTAGAATAGGAAGAGTTAATTCCAAACTCGTCAAGTCATTCTCTTTAGGCTGGATAAGGCCAAGGGCAGCCTGTTGGGAATATCAGAAGGACAGCCGGCAGAAACTCTATCAGTGACAGGCAGAAGGGAAGTGGGCAGTGACTGAGATAGAACAGGAAGCTGCTTAGATAACGGAGCTAAAGTACGTTACTGTACTGTCAACCCACAGGCCCTCTCTCTCCTATCCTCTTTTGAGGTCAGAGGGCTTGAGCCTGCAAAAATCCCACTGCAGAAGAGCCTGAAGGTCAAGTTGGCAGATAAAAGATAGGGCAGGGGTAAGAACTGAGAAGTCGTCAAATACCAGACACACATAAAGCCTTGACTGGGTTCCCTCTCCAAGTAGGAGTCAGAAGTAAAGGTAGGGTCAACCTTAGAATCCGTTCAAAGGTCCACACTAATTTGGCTGAGGACATCATTTTAGAGTGAGAGAAGCAAGGACTAGGCTTCCTGGGGGTGCACTCAGGAAGCTTTGTGGTTTAGAATATCCTTTGGGGAGTTATTAAGGGGAGGTGAGATCTTAGGGTTATTTTTAGAGTAGTGAGGGGAAATTACTCTTCCAGTCATAGTTTATCAATTCTCTAGTGTTACACAGAGCTTCTTTGGGCAAGAATACTTTGGCCCTCACCTCCAGCGAAGAGTGAGGAGAGAAGCACAGAAAGCTGCCCCCTTCACCGTGGCCAGCACTCTCCTCCAGCTGCTGGGCACACAGGCAAAGATGGCTCCTCTTGGCTTTCAAGGAGCAGCACCCGAACACTCAACTCCAGAGTGGAAGGGGGATGGTGTTGCAACACTGCTCACTGGGGAGTTTTGAATGCAGACAGACTCGGGTTACACAGCTAAAGAACCCTTGATTTTTAAATATTTTTCTTTGAATATTGGAAAAGGAGAGCCTGTCAGCAAAATGTCTTCACATCTTTTTTGAAAGAAATGGCACAGTAGTGAATGTGTGGCCAGAGGCCTGAGTCTCAGTCTTTGCTGTACTACTGAATAGCAGGACAGCTTTCAGCAAATAACTTAATCTCTTTGGGTCTCAGTTTCTTCCAGATATGAACAAGAGATTTGACCTAGATTAGTAGCTTTCATACTGCACTCCCAGGGGCACCAGGGGTTCTGCTGGAATGCCAGAAGGGGGCAAGGCTCCAGACTCCCCTGCCACCCCTCCTGCAACCAGAGCCTCAGGATTGCCTGCTTATATCTAAGGCTGTTCAGTAAACTTTCAGTTTGAAAAATAACTGGATTTAGTGGATTTTAAAGTCTACTTGGGACTTAAACGTCATGCAAAGTTTATGTTAATGGCAAGAACTTCCCTTCTTGTTTTGTAATTTTGATTGACTGAAAAGATGAAAACATGCTTTAAGAGTGTCACTTTATATTTGATACAAAGACTAAATAAAGTTTAGATATTACAGAGAAACTAAAAAAACTTTCCTTATTAATAACTGAATGGTAGAATTATGATGTTCCTTGAAAAATACAACCCTGTCTCTCCCCTTACACACACTATACAGAGTCCTTTCCATAAATTGGTTAGAAACAAAGGATAATGTCTTGTGTCGAGGCAAAAAGCAGAAAAGTCCAATTAAATAGAATCCTTGTTAGAATGATGATATCATATATTGTTTCCCAAAACTCTCTCCACACTCTGCCATTTTGAATGTCATGGAAAGTGTCCAGGCCATAGTAAAAGACAAAGTAAAAATAAATAAATAAATAAAAGGAGCATGGGACTGTCACAAGTTATTATAACATAGACTTTTACAAGCACTGCTTTCCCGTGTTTCAAGTTGAGGTTGCTTCTAGTTCCCAGGAATGTACTCCCCATGAGGGCAGGGATTTTTGTCTCTTGTCCATGCTGTGTCCCAATACCTAGAGCTCAACAGTTGCTTGTTAAATGAGTGCATGTTGGGTAGGTGGCTTTCTAAGAAAGCCCTGAGAGTGGCTGGAATGGAGATTGCCCTCTCTTGGGCAGGCTTGAGGCCTATGAAAGAACAAGTTTACCTCTGTGTCTAGAAGGAAGTTTGCTGACTTCTGGTGCCATTAGGAAATCAAGAGAACCTAAGTCCCAATGGAGGCAATGATCTCTATTTTTAAGGAAGGATTTTCTTTGCAGCGGATGGGTGTTACTAAAAGAGGGTTAGATAACTGAAATAGCTAAAGCTTGGATGCTTAGTCTAGAAGCAGAATTACTTCTGGGGTTGACAAGAGGGGTGAGAAGGTTTGACAGGAGTTGCTTACAGGGAAGGAAGAAACCAAGAGATCAGTGAAATGTCATTAAAAGTCCTCAGTGAGGAAAGCAGAAATTCAGAAAGAAAGCTGCAAAAATAATCCTTGGCTACCAGAGAAGAGTTACATTTTGTATAGTATAATCTCTCAGGGTAATCAAAGGTAGTAAGTTGTATAACTTCCCTTTCTTTAATCCCAACAAAAGGTAGGCATATTAACTGAACTTCTAAAGGAATTAAACTAATAATATTACAGTTTTTCTTTAAATGTACATTTTATTATTACAAAGGCATAGTTGCTGTTGAGTCTTAGACTCTTTCGATGCTTTCATCATGTATCTTTTGAGGACAGCTTTGAGGAAAGTTATTATAAGGTGAATCATATGTGATCTGTGGTAGATACACACTGTGTATATGAATGGGTGCTGAGGGAAGGTAGGAAACCCAATTGAACTCTTTTGTAAAATGCCAGGGAAATTATATGAGGGCTTTTTTGATGCCAGCTATAAAAATAAACCCAGCAGGAACAGAGATAATCCAGAATGAGTTGGATGTGTCTTTATGCAACTGGAAACAAGTGAGATATGTCTTCTTGGCTAACTGCTATGCTTCTGCTGTCATTTTAATTACACAAGCAGGATTTAATGTTCTGTATATTGAACAGTGTTTATTTTGTGGCTTCTGATGGCATCTACTCTGAAGGTAAGCCCTTTCTTTTCACACAAAAATCCATGAATGTCCAAGCACATGTAGCTCTTACCTTTCCATAATGTTTGTTTGGAAGCAGAAAAATACTGATACTTTTCAAAATTTCTATTCCATAGTAAAACATATGAGTGGTGTTTGACAATTAAGTAACTCTTATGGTGGTGGATACTCAGTCTAAACTTCAGCCAATGGATGCTGGATAACTGCCCTCTCCTGAGGTGCCTAATCTCACCTGCGTATGTGCCCTGTGCTCAAGCTCCCACATACACCTCATGGAAACACTTGATATTTCATATGCCTATAAGCAATGTGACACTTCTACCTTCAGCTTCCTGTTTTAATGTTTCTGATTTGCTTTCTCTTACAGGTTGCAAGACTGATGACGATTTCAAGAGGGAAGATCAAGTACACATCCTCAATTCTGTCACTGCTTCCCTGCCCTCATTACTTATAGTTCTACTTAGGGTTTGTAGCCCCTGAAAATGGCACTAGGAATCCCTTGTGGGCTGCACTGCTTCCTTTGGTAGTTCTGCCCAGTGGAGGCCCTCAGGAGAGCTGATTATTTACCCTTTGTTTTCAAAAAGGTCCTCAGCTCCCCTGATGCAGGTGTTCCTGGTTCTGACCTTTCACAAGAACCCTTAGGAGTTTTTCAAAGGAAGGGGAATAAAACAGCACACTTCAAACATATATGACTGATAGGCTCACAGCATAAAAATGAATGGAAAGAACTGAAAAGGTAGCATTTCTCCTTGTAGTTCAGCTTGTTTGCTGTTCATATCGATCCTAGTGAACTAATAGTCCATTTGTATCAACACAGACAAACTGGCCAACATGCTGGACACTTCTTGGTTTGAAGCTCATGGAAGCAAATCTTCTGTGTACATATCTAAATACCTAGATATGCACACTGTAACAGAAAAGAAGACTCTATGACTTGCCTTAGAAAGGAAATCATAGTAAGTCATTTAAAAGCTTGAATAAGGAGAGAATTCGTGTCACTAACTCATCATTCCTGTTGGTAGAAGAAAATAACAAAGGATGTCATATTCCCACTGGGATGCGGTAGCATCCTGGAGGGATATGAAGACCATAAATTTGTGTCCATGGACTGTTTTATCCAATAATCTCTAAATACTAGTTATTAAAATAAAACTGTGCCCACCTGACATTCTGATTTATAGGTCTTTTTTACACATTGATGGTTTTCTCCGATTTGTGTTTCTGAGGTATGGATTGCCAAGTGGATACAGTCATTGATTAGAACTGCACCCCTAAGGCAGCTGTCGGTAGAATCAGCAAGTCATAAGAATAAAATGCATTAGTTATAATCCCTGAGCAGTCTTTCACATTCTGGAGGATTTAAAAGTTTCATTATTTGTCAGTGTTATCAAGGGTTCAATTCTTTTTTAAGACACACTGGTTAGGTGTTCTTTGTTACAAATAAAAAACACAAAACAAAACCAAACAAAAAAACCAAATCACACTGAATTATTTAAAAGCTGATGTAGAAAACCCAGCAAACATGAACTTTACCATGGTGGGATTATAGTGCTTGTTTTTACTCATTTTGCAATTCAGTTCTATAATCTCTATTATTAATAATAAAATGAAACCTAGCCAGTCACTGTTTCTCAGGGCCTCTGTTTCTTTGATATAAAATGAAGTTAAACTGAATGATTATTAAGGTGCTTTCCAACTCTAACATATTTGAATCTGTGATGTTAACATAAACTCCACAAAAAAGAATTAACAAATTGCAGAATTGATTCCATAGTGTACTGATACCAAATGTGTTTTGTTTTATGTAAGAATCAGAACTATAGGACCTGAGTTGCATTGGAGAATATTTTTCATTCATTCAATTCAAACAGATATAGATTACAAAGCAGTGGAAGGGGCAGCATTTACTTGGAAGGGCTGCATCTGAAAGAGTCTAGTTTTTTTTACGTCAGAGTATGTAATGATTCTTTCTAAGGAATACCAACAATTATCAGTTATTCACTTAAAGTGCCCGGGGCAGTGCTCACCTTCAATAAATGTAAATAATAACAATAAGAACAAATATTTTGTTTACCTCATAAAGTAAAAGGGCACTAGATAAGTAACACATCAAAGCTAATATCCCATATGGGAACATTGTAGTGTGATAGAAACATGGCGAGTTGTCATATAAAGGCGTCTTTTCTTATCTATATCCTCATTTCTTCCAGGTCTGTACTAATGTAACAGTCTTCAGAGCAGTGACTTTGGATAAAGTACAGGCTTTTAAAAAATCAATTTAAAAATGGTCTGAAGATGTTACACTTTTAGCGCCTTTCTAAAATTCTGACCTTATCAAAGGAACCCAAAGGATGAAAATTCGAACACATTTATAGGCTCAATTCTCCAGAAATGTATCCAGTGCAAATAGCTAACCTTTCCACTTTTTTCACCCAATTTCCCAATTTTATGTGGATGAAAGTGTAAGCTGTCCATGAGTACTCTCGTTTTGTTCCCAGGATTTGAAATAATCTCCCAACTGCTTTTTCAAATAATCATTACTAGAACCTTAAGAGGACGTAAGAGGGTACTGCATCCTCAGGGCCAGTTACCTGTGAAATTCTAGTCTCTTAAATCAAAAGAGAAAATTTCCTCATAAGTGTAGAGTCACTGATTTTCTGTACAAATTCTATTTTTTCTTTTAGTAAGTGATCGCCATGATGAGAAGCAAAGTCTCAGTCTTTCTTTAGCATTTGCTTTTTGATCAGAATGCCTATGAGTCTTATTTTATTTATGCTGGGTCATGTCACAGTATTTTGAATTCAAATATTGATCTGAAGCTATTACAAAAAAGTTTAAAAGAGAAAACTGCAGAATTTAACTAGGATTTTAACATTTATTTTATTGCTTAAAGAGAGATGAATGTTTCTTCAGTTTTAGACACTGCTGGTTATAATTTAAAGTAATTGCTAAGAAATTAGATGCCTACCATCTACAACAATGTTGTAACATTCAGTACAGAAATAATGACATGTTTTAAGTAGGACAAATTAAGGACAAAGTTTGGAATTTTAAAAACGCAATTATGGCCAGGCATGGTGACTCACGCCTGTAATCCCAGCACTTTGGGAGACCGAAGTGGATGGATCACCTGATGTCAGGAGTTCAAGACCAACCTGACCAACATGGTGAAACCCTGTCTCTGTTAAAAATACAAAAATGAGCTGGGTGTGGTGGCGGGGGCCTGTAATCTCAGCTACTTAGGAGGCTGAGGCAGGAGAATCACTTGAACCCAGGAGGTGGAGGTTGTAGTGAGCTGAGATTCCACCATTGTACTCCAGCCTGGGCAACAGAGCAAGACTCTGTCTAAAAGAAAAAAAAAGTATCTTCAACCACTAACCAAAGCAGACCTGTAGATTTCAGCGGGCTCGACAGGACTCCCCAAACTGAAAATGTACTCTTCTCAACAGTACCGTACCAAGTATGCTCAGGTCATGGGATAGATTTTCCTTTCTCACTCTCTTATTTTTACGTAATTTTTTGTCTTAAACTAGAAACAGTAGATTTAACAAGGGGAAGTCCAGCATAGGATTCAGATGGGCTGAAAATGATAAATTACCTAAAGACACTGAGTAACACCTGGTACATATTTGCCCTCCACATTCTCCACAGGTCTAGGAAACAGTCTCCTTATGCTACACTGTGAAGATTATGCTGTGACTAGAGGGTTTATTTAGAGTAGGTCTTTTGGGAAGAGTCCTTTGCTTTCGTGGGGATGAGATATAATGTTGATTTCAACATGGCGGTAGTTATACAATACATGGTTCTCTGTGTATAGCAGAGCTGTTTTAAGATCCTGGGTAAGGTGAGGTCAGTTTTTACCCAAGGGCCATATTTCTAACCAAGCAAAAGTATAGCCTTCTTTCTGAGCCAATGAATTTCAGATCCACTCAGTAATATCTTCTATTCATTGAGCACTTATACCATGCCAGTCCCTGCTAACTATTTTAAATGTTATTTCTTTCATTCCTCACTCTATGAGAGAGACAGGAGGGAAGAAGCATTAGTGTTCAAGAGTACATGCTTTGAAATCAAATTAAACATGAGTTTGAATCCCAGTTTCACGACTTGCTTACTAACTAGCTTCAGACAAGCCATAAACATTTTCGAATCTCAACATCCTCATCTGTAAATTCAGGATAAATAAGATGCTTACCAATGTATGCTGGATTTATTAAATGCTTGATTTTTTTTTTTTTTGCTCTTATTAATATCATCGGTGTGTAGATGAGAAAACAGGTTTGGAGAAGCTACAAACTGTGTCCAATATGACATATTTAGCAAGTGGTAGAACTAGGATTTGAACTACTGTTTGTGTGACTCCAAAATTTATCTTCTGAACTACTATACTGGACCACTCTCTAATACAAATTATTGGTTTATCCATTGGCATAATTACTACTCTGGGGAAACTGCTACTTTTAGAAGGACCAAGAGAGTCCACTGAGTGACTATACTTGCATTTGTTTTTTACAAAACAATCGTCTTGCGATGCCTTGAGAGTTGAGAATTCTAGTATTCTTTAGGCTAATAAAGGATCTTCCACGGCTTAAGAAAGGTCCAGTCACTTGCCTCTAGTTTCCTGCCTCCTAAAATGCTCTTGAAATGTGTCCTTGGGGATGGCTTTCTAAAGGGGCCAGAATGGAGTCCGAGCACATTGCTGTGGATACTCTTAGCTTCCAGTTTGGTCTTGAGCACCCCTGTTTCAGCTTTTACTCACTAGGTGGAGAATTTCTACTATTTCTGGCTGCAATTTCACACCTGCCAATTCAATGCGACAAAATAGGAGACCATGTCAGGCCCTCAAAACAGCATATGCCTTTAAGTTCCCAAGCAGGTTTTTTTTTTTTTTTTAAATGTCAGATTTATAATTCTCCTGAATTTCTACTAGCATATCCTCTCCATCCCTCCCCTCAACATCTGCAGAACATCCGTGACAAAACAAAACAAAACCCAATCCTGACAAATTGTGACTTTCCTCTACAAGATAAATGCTTTTTTCCTCCTCCTTAACTGAGGGATGGGACAAGAGAATTTGCCTGATTCATACTGGAAGCAGGACAATTTCCTTTGGTGTCTCAGACTTAAACAGGTCTGTACATGTTTGGTTTTGTTTGGAGATCAGTATTTAATTTAGAAATGCCTTGAGAGCTGAGATTTCTAATATCTCTTAGGCTAATAAAGTAAGGATCTCATATGGTTAAGAAAGGCCCAGTTACGGTATCTCTTTTCAATTCATCTGGTGCATGAAAAGCCACTGCATTTGCATTAAAAGCTGAAAAGTTTTCAGCTGCAAAAGCCTGTAAGGTAGAGGAGGACATCAGCTCCCTAAACCTTTACAATACTCAAGTGCAATTTGAGGAGGACAAAAAAGCAGCGAGATGAGTCTTTCCTTTTATGGGGGTAGGAAGGCTTAGGTTCTAACTTGGCAGAGCAGATTCCTTTTGAAAAAGAAGGCTCCCTCGGTTTAAATCTCAATTTCTAAGTCTCTCTTGGGAGATGAAGGCTCTCCCTGTGTGCCTTTCACAATCAAACTGTTGGTTATAGCCTCTCCCTTCCATGGCTTTGAAATCTTCTCCTATTCATATGGTCACAACAAGACAGCCCTGGGGCGAGGATGGCAATCACTTCCTGGGCTCTGTGCTGGCTGGATTCCACTGGGCGGAAGGGCTTCCAGCATTAGGCAGGGCTGCCCTGGGATTCACAAATGCCCACCACTTGGCGGAACAACAGCCCCACGCAATCTCCCTGTCCCCAGATAGCCTCTTGCCACATTAATTGCATCATTGATGCATTAAAAAAAAATTAAGTGGCCTTTTTATTCGAAGGCAACCGTTTGAGGGAGAAACATTTAAGACTAGCCTTTGTGACTATAGCTGATAACATTCCGTTTATTTTACTTAACAGTTGTGGTCTCTCTGAACAAAGAGAGGCATATCTAGTGTGTTTGTACTCTCTATTTCTAGTGCATTTGCTAGAAAAGAACTCTGCAAGATTGCTTTGCCCCAAAAAAGTCTTAAAAGAACAAGGCTAACTCTAATGGAATCAATCCTCTATTTGCTTGGTCCCCAAAACGTTGGTAGCCTTTGTACAAAGGGGTAGTTTGACTTTTTGGTTAAAAAAAAACAACAAAATACCTCACATGATCACTTCATTTCCACAAAGAGTTAATGAACAGCCACTGAATTAATTTGCCCTGTCCAGCTAACAGCTGCAGCCAGAGCCCTACGCCCCTAATGCAAAGAGATAAATGAATTTGACTAGGGTGCAAGCACCTGCACGTCTTCCCAACCTGTACAGAGTACATCCAGGTGTTCCCTGACAAATGACCCGGGGCCTAAACTAAGCCCGCGGGCATCTTCTTTGGGTTAGTCTGCAGTGACCTGGAAAATTCCCACCCCTGTGTGCAGATTTCATATTTGCTTGCTGTAGGCAGACAGGGGACAGTGCCTTATGTGTGTGATCCCTGACAGGCAGGACAAATGTGAAAATGTCTGTGAGAGCCAGGATGAGTGAGATCAAGAATGTTGAGGAGTTCCAGCCCTCCTGTAAGGAGGCATAGGTGACACTGACCTGGAAGATGAGCACTTTGAAATGGTTGCGTCGGAGGAGCTGGGCGTGGTTGTTCTCCAGCCGCTTCACCTGTGCGCTCTGCCTGTCCATGCGCTCTTTGACCGCGCGCGTGTGGGCGCTGACCTTGCGGGACTTCTCCAGCAGTTTGCTCACCGTGTTGCTGGTGGAGGCCTGGTACTTGGAGAGCTTGGTGAGGTCGTTCTGGATGCCCTTCACGGAGCCCTCCAAACTGATCTGTCGCTGCTCCATCTTGTGCTGGTTCTCCTGCACGGCGTCCAGCATGTTCACCAGCTTGTCCAGGAGCGTGAGCACCGTGACGGCGTTCACCTGTGAGTTGTCCCGGATGGCCTCATCCGTGTTCCCCAAGTTCAGGCTGGGGCTCGGTGTGGAGGAAGGCATCGGGCTGGGGCTCGAGGGCTTTTCCTGCCGCATGTCAGACCCAGGGTGCTGGAACTTTTCGGCCTGTGCAGCGTCCTCTCCCATGGCTAGGCAGGTGGGAACGTTCTTCCTCTCTGGGAGCTGCTTCTTGCTCGGGTGAGAAGTTGCGGTGGTGAGGGTGCTGGATGAGGCCCGCTGGTTGGAGCTCAGAGCACCACTCTCTAGGACTGGCAGAGGTTCAGACAGGCAACAACTGGCTACGCTGATCAGGGGAACTGCATTCCAGCTGCTCTTAAAGGCCCTGCTCCACCCAGTGGGAGGAGAAGGTTACAGAACTGAGAAGGACTCAGGGTTCAGAAGTATGCACACACTTCCTAACCGCGTTCTGGGCACAGGACACTTTGTCGCAGGTTTAGCTTTTCTTTCCTGCTCCCCTTCCCTTTTTAAAAAAGTTCAATGTCGTATTTCAATCATGACTTCATCTAGAGGCGGAGAAAAACATGCTAACTTGGCCCAGCTCCACAGCTTCCAATTGACTACAGCTAGTAAACTTTTCTCTGGCTGCTATGCTACAGATGCAACAGGGTGCCTGTTTCTTTTTCCTGGATACAAGTTATTGTAACGGAAAGTATTGTTTGCATTTGCCCTAGAACTGACTGATGGATTGCAGAACACCGGGTGTCCTACTGGGAGGCACAGAGTTTAAAGGATACTGCAGCCAAGTTTGTATTATTAGTTTCTCATTTGCAAAGGAATGGAAGTAACTCTGATAATGATAAGGAAAGCAGCTCAGTTCTTATTACTCTTGCAGCTGGGGATACAAAATAGGTTAAAAGAGATTGAACTTTAGGGATATTTAAAAAAGTAATGTTGCTGTTATGACTATTATCGTGTAATATATGTAAACTTTTTGGAGGACCACATTTAAAAAAATAATTGTTTTTTTCAAGAGGTGAGATTGAGAGAGGAAAAATAAAACGTAGTCTTTTTAAGAACCTACCATGATGATTTGTTTTAACTAACTTTGAGTTGATGAGGAGAGATGTTCTCAAATGCCCGTCTCTGCAAGGCATTTATTGACACGTGCCCAGGAGTGTCTGTTGGCAGGCTGAGTTGGAGTTTCTCAAGTGGTTCTAATGTTTGACATTTTAAAATTCCTGCTCAGTGAAGTAGCACACCTGTTCTCAAATGTGACCCTCCTCAGCTGAACCCTTGGGATGTGGGGCTTATTTCCTAAAATGGCTTTACATGCTTGAGTTGATTTTAAATGTATCCAGCCTTTGAAAGTGCTTTCAGCAGGAAGTTTGTAATAGGCCTTCTATGAACAATTTTGAGAAGAACAAATGCCAGCTCATACCAGGTCAGGGATTGATAATGGAGCAATGCCATTCATCAATAGTAACACCTACGTGTAAGCCAATCACTCAGCAGGCCATTGGTTATCACATTGGTTGAATCTCTGCCTTCTGCTATATGCATGAAGCACTATCCGGAAGACACTGGCAAAGCATGACCGAGACCCTGCTCTCAATGAGTATAGCTGCCAGTTAGGAAGATGAACTAAAGATATATACAGAGGCCTCCAATTTCTTCAGATAATTGGTACCACCAAAACCCACTTAAAGCAAATGCTTTAAAAATAGAGACCAAAAAGGTGAAAAGAAGGTTTGGTTGAGATGTTATCTTTTAAAAAAGTAAGAACATTATTAAAATTAATTTATCTTATATTTGATAAAATTTAGTTAATCAAAAATGTGTTAAATATTAGAATAAAGGATGAATCAAGTGTTGATTTTGAGAAGCACAATTTTCTAACAAAATTATATGGTATCATGACACGACGTCCTTTTACATTTGACTTTTGTGGGCAAATCATAGAGTGTCACTATTTCAAAAATATTTGAGGGCTTCATCAATTTTCCAAGAGCCTCTCTTAAATTTTGACATTCAAATCATTTCTTTTTGAAGCCCTTATTGTGCCATCATCCGTGTAGATTTGTTCTTCTTCAAATGTTAATGTTAACTATTCCAGCTGCAGATTCTCATTTGTCAGAGGAGTTGCCCATGATTCAAGGGCTTCTCTAACATTACCTTCATCAACTTCATGATTTCCTACGTATTTTGCAAAATTTGCGATTTCACATTATAATCACTTCACCCTGATTTTGCATTGATTTGTGCTGATTTTGCATTGCATTGTTGGATATTGTATAATCAGCTAGATGAATAGAGACATTAAAGAGATGGGGTGTGAGGTGGGAAAAGGAAAGAGGCTAGTTGTTAAATAGGAAGAAAGGTTTGCTTGTGGGCTTATTTTTAAAATATATATTTTGAATAACACAAATAATATCAGTCATCTATTGCTATGTAACATACCACCATGGAACTCAGTGGCTTAAAATAATATTTTATTTACTCATGATTCTGTGTTTGGCTAGTCAGGGCTCAACTAGAATGGATCATTTCTGCTAGGCATGTGCATTCATCTGTAGTTTGAGCTGAGGAATCTGAGATGGCCTCATTCACATGTCTGGCTTCTCAGCTGGGGCAACTAGGATACTGGGATTTCTCTCTTTTCCTTTTTCAGTCTCTGGGGCCTTTCCATTTGATCTCTCTAGTAGGGAAGTCAAGCTTTTTTACGTGGTACTTCAGGGTTCTAAGAGAGTAGAAGCAAATCTGCAGGGTGTCTTAAGGCTGCAGGGTATCTCTGGAACTCTCCCCTTGTCACCTCTACATGCTGTGGTCCAAGTAGGTCACAGGCCAAGATCAGATTTAAAGAGTGGAAATAGACTCCACCTCTTTATGAGAGAGAAGTAGTAATGTCCCACGATAAAAGGGTGAGCCGGTCGGGGGTGATTCTTGCAGTCATCTTTGAAAACAATCACCACGTGAATAGAATCTTCTTTTAAAAGGCTATCACAGATAAAGTGGAGCCTCTTTTGATCACCATTTCCATTTTATTCCCTTCCCTCTCTTGTCAGGTAATCATTTCAATGAATTTGGCATATATCCTTTAAAAATTATATTTTAACTTTTAAATATAATTTAAATCAATTCATTAGTGAATAGTTTCATGCTGTGATGCAATTTGTTTTGTTGGACAACCTTACAGTCATGGCAGCTAGAAGGAGCTATGTAATGGGAACGTACAAGACGGCCTGAAACTAAGTAATATACTGATACAGACTGTAAGGGCAGCAACAGTTCGTATAAAGGAAAAGCAAAGACAACTAAAGAAAGCACCGTTGATGAGTTAGAAATAGAGGTAACCCTGAGCAACCAAACTTACCATTTAGTTGTCCTAAATTAAGTCTTCTTTCTGTCTGAGAGAAATCAGTGAATTTCAGCAGTCAGTTCTTAAAAGAAATGTTTAAAAAATTAATTCTACATACAGCATATTATGAAGTTTCTTGGAAATTAGGTAGTGGAATTTAGACTTGATACAGCGACAGTCTCTGGAGGTTTTTGAACACGTGAAGCTGATGTGTTTAAGAAAAATCTGTACGGCAATAAGATGTAGAGAGGGTTCACTTGGCTGGTGGGAAATAAGTGCTAGGCACTGGGGATGCAAAAATGAATGATGTGTATTTGTTACCCTTTAAAATCTCCCACCTTAGGAGGATAGGTAGGTAGACAAATCCTAGGGATAGATGTACAGGTGTGGGCATAGAGAGGGAATGATTAGCTCTGCAGGAGTCCAGGAGCATGAAGGCTTTAGTCATGACAGGGTATGGTTAGGACTCAGAATCCTCCAGATGATCAACAGCTCCCTCGAACACCAGTTAACCTCAGAGGTTTAAGTCACAGAAGCACAGAAGTCATTCCAGGAAAATACCTACCTTATTATCAGTTAAGAAATTGGTCCCAATTTCTATGTGGTTTCCTATTCTGAACGACTAGCCCATAATTCCTAGACCAGAGGCAACTCAGTGGTCTCCTTTGTTGACCTTTTCCATGTAGGTCCATAAAGTAATCTGGGCACTCTTGGTCTGACAGCAATAGGAGACCTGGAATGAGGATCCCACAGAAAAGAAAGCCTTTTTCCCCAGTGGCTAAAGAAACAAGGAAAGCTAAGCAGACTAATCCATACATCTTTTCCCCTGTCCTCTATGTTGGAGTTCAAAAGCCTTTCAAAGGCTGGTTTCCTCTTGAGCAGGAGGCAGTCCTAGGGTTGTATATTCACCATATAGAAAGAAAGAAAAACCACATAATGACACATCCACGTGTTTTATGTCATTAAGTTTTGGGGTGATTTTTTAATGCAACAGTAGATAACTGGAAACGTAGTTTGCAATAAAAATGTAATTTTTTAAGAATTATAGTTAACAGTCTAGGTTTGTTCCTAGAACCCCTCTATCTAATATATTTTATACATACTACTGTTTCCAAAACTTAACTGCTAAGATAGTGTTATAAAGCAAAATAAAGGACTTTGTGTGATTATTCTCACCTTAAGAAAAACTTAACACTGGGCTTAATACCAAAAGTGGTAGGAAAAAAGCATATTACCAGGATAAAATGAATTATGCAGAAAGGAAGGTGGAGTTGAAAGATCATCTGACCCTATCTGGGTGAACTCTGTATCTAGTCATTGAATCCTGCAGTGGGTATGGATAGAAAGTGAGGGTGCAGTTTGCAGAATGCCTGAACGTCTTGCCTTATCTTTTTCCAAGGCAATGAAGAGGAATCAAGTGTTTACTTTCACTAGAAATATTAATGATGAAAAGCACATGATTATATGATTCGAATCTCTTCCAACCAAAGTCCTTGTGTATCAATGATGTCAGTAAGAAGTAGAGAAATGTATAAGGAAATCCTACATAAATGAGTGATGAAGTATAAATAGTGTCTAGTGTTTACATATAAGGTAGATTTTACCCACTTCCCATGTGCTGTCATTTAGGAACTCCAAGATTTTAGGAAACTAGAGGAGCTTACACTCTCAAGGCCTTCTCTGGCTCTTGGGTTTAAATAAGTGTTTCCCTATGTGCCATATCTATACTTCTCCATAACTGCCCGGTTGTAAACTCCAACCCGTTCTTTAAGTATCATACAATCCACTCACACGAAGTATTTATAAGTGTGGTAGATGTTTGCGAAGTTTTAGAGTCACAGTTAGGAAGATTTCTGACATCTTGTTGGTTTCTCTCCTCCTAGTTTTCTTTCTTCTGTTTCCTCCTTACCTCCACTCTCCTATCATGAAAAGAAATATTACTCAAACACTGGACATTAGGTTTTATCTTCTACCCCAATC